GTGCTCTTTAAAATGTGTGCACCCTCATGCACACACGCTACTGTAGTTGCCTTTCTGCTATGAGCTCCTTACTGCTGAGCAGATGCTGGTACCGTGCTCTTGGTACATCAAAGCCATAAGCTAAAGGAACTTCTTTTCTTTATAAATTACCAGTCTTGAGTACTGTGTTACAGTGACAAACATGATTAAAACATTTACCAAATTAAAGAGTTACATCTCTAATTTAGACTACTGGATTGCAAAACCCTTTAGCCTCGCTGCTCCATGTTTTGTGTCCTCTCACTAATATGCATCTGAAGCTCAGAAGCCAGACTTACACATCTGTCAGTTTATGCTCATGTCACACAGTGGGAAACAGCCATTGACCTAGTCTTCCCAGTCACATCCTGCCCCACTGCCCTTCCTCTACCAAGACTTCAAGTTCAAGGAGCTTGACATACCAGGGGACTGTTATGACCATTGCCACAAGGCCAGCACAGATCCCAGTGAACTGGCATCTAGCCTGTATGTTGACATCTACTTCTAAGTTGTCAACATTTTCTGGGATCTATTAAAAAAATACAAATTCCTTGCCCTAGCAGCAAATGTTTTCATAGTGAGACATCATTTTAGGCCTCATTTAAAATAATATCCTAAACTGAGAGAGCTCAAAACTTAATATGCATGTGAATCATTTGAGAATCTTCCTCAGAATTTAGATTCTGATTCAGCAGGGCTGGAATGAGGATCCAGGAATCTGTGTTTCTGACAAGGGTCAGGGGATGTGGATGCTCATGTTCCACAAATCACAACTCTAAGTAATGAAGATACTCAGGTTCAAACCACACCAGCTTCGGTGTACCTACACTTACGTCTTCCTGGAATGCCCACTGGTCTCCACTGATCCAATGTACTCCAAAACCAAACTGAAATGCTGTCTTATTTCCTCAGTATCTTAGTCACTTTCTTTGTCCTTGTGATAAAATATCTGACACCTCAACTTAAAGGAGGCGAGGGTTGTTTTGGGTCACGTTTTTATTCCACAGTTGGCTGGCTCAAAGGGAGAAAGACATAGCAGAGGGGCGGGATTTAGCCCAGTGGCTTAAACACTTGCCTAGCAGGCACGAGGTCATGAGTTCAACCCCCGGTACAAAAAAAAAAAAAAAAAGGAAGGAAGGAAGGAAGCATAGTGGAAGACTCCAGTGGAGGAGAGATAGTTACTTCATGGCACCCAGGAAGCAGAGCATCACAGAAGGTGCTGGGAAGGGAAATATTCCCTTCCAGGTCATACCTAGTATCTTGCCTCTTCTGACCAGATCCCACCTCCCAAAAGCAGGTCAGTTATTATCTAAACCACTAGGTGAAGTAACTGTGAACTCCTTCTTGGAATTCTTAAATACTCGGTGTGAAACATTAGCCAACAAAAGGACACAGGACTGGAGTTTTCACCTACATTTCCATTTTAGGACAGTTTCATTGCTTTCCTCTGAGCTGATCCAATCATACTTCAAAACGATCTGTGCGTTCATTATTAATTCTGCGCAGTAATTAAGGTACTACAGGAAGCTCCCACTCATTCAGGATAAAATAGCCAGAAAAATGTGAACAATCTAGATTGTGCAGAATTGCATGATAATAATTTCATAGTAATAACCCCCAAGGCTTAAAGAGCCTGAAATAGCTTCTGAATCATCAGAGAAAGATTAAAATTACATTCAGCATATTTTAGTGTTGAGTGAATCTGATCATATTCTGATCTGAAAACTGACATACGGGGGTGTATATGATGTGTTCCGATAAGGAATACGTAGCATACATGGAATAAATTATTGTCACTTCCAGTCCCATATAATATTTAGCACCTTTAGCACAACTCCGTACCTGTCATTTCCTCACCAGGTGTATGTACAAGCACACACACACATTCTCTCTCTCTCTCTCTCTCTCTCTCTCTCTCTCTCTCTCTCTCTCTCTTTCTCTCTCTCTCTCTCTCTCTCTCTCTCTCTCTCTCTCTCTGTCTCTGTCTCTCTCTCATATGCACATATACACATAGACATATGCAAACACACCACACCACTTCTCAAGAAAAGAATATTTTTAAAGCCAGGATTTTACTATACTTCTTAAATTCTCAAAATAAGCTCTAAAAATCTTTTTATTTTTCCTCTAAAACTGAAGACCTTACCATTGTTTGAATGCAGTCCAGATACAGACTATTTCTCCATTTTCATGTATTTCTATAATGATCGCATATTTTTCTTCATTGCAAAAGCATTTGCAATGACTTGCAAGAACTTTTAGACTAAAATAAATAATAATAATAATAAATTAAATATGCAGAAGAGAAAAAGAATGAGTGAAGCCAGGAAGACTGGCTGCCTGGACATATATTTCATGTGGTCCTGACTAGTCACTGGTCTGGAGCAGCAAAGTCACTGCTTTTCAGTCCAACTTCCTGCCTCCGCTGTCTCTTCCTTTTCTTCTTTCCACAGCTCCCTGGGTAGATGGGCAGGCTTCTTCCTATTTGTCCATTCTGGCTCATGCTGATTTATACATTGTCCTTTTTTCAGAGGTGGCACAAGACTCTCAATTTCTTTGGGATTATATTGAAGCTGCTGCCTCATTTACAACAAAGAATAAATCACATATTTGTTTAACTTTAACATTATGTTGGATGCATTCTTTCCCTCATAAGCTTTTCTGTCCTCCTTCAGCTCCACAGACATTTACTCTAGCCCAGAAATCTAACTTCCACCAAGGAAGTAGGCCCTGCATCTTATCCGGAACCTGTGTCTTGGCTCATCTCCCAGACTGGAGATTTTGTCCAGATGGACCTCATTATTGGCTGAAAGTCTCACTACTCACCAATGTAGCATCCTTCTCATCCTCCAAAGAAGCCTAGTTTTCGCAACCTTGGCTACATCACAATGGAATCTAAGCATATATCAGGAAAGCTTCTCTCTAGTGGGCAGGAATCTAGGTTGAGCCTCCTAGGTACCTCCAAGTGGACAGGGAATACTCACCACAGTTCCAAAACCGTAGAAATGGACTAGCTACCCTGCTGACACTGCTGGAACACCTTTTAAGTAAGTCTGTGCCTCAAAGGAGAAGCAGGTGCTGGCTGAGTGTGAGATTCCCAGGGGCTCTCTCACTGCCCCCCTTATGTCTGAAGGAAGTGATTCCCAGATATCTGATAGTCTGTATGTCAATATGTACCTGCATTTTAAAGGATTTGCTTGATAACAATCAGAGAGGAAAGCTTGGGTTAAAACAGAGAGAGAAAGGGAGAGACAGGACAGTCTTGAGCTTCATTTTCATGTATTGTTATTCTTTGAAAAATGCCCCCTTCTTAGAGAAGAAAACCCATTTCTGCAGCCTTAACAGTGGAGAGCCCAGGAAAAATTTGGAGACCTGTTCTTTAGAGGGGCATGGAAGCCATTGTCAGGCCACAAGGAAGATCCTGGGTGAGTCTTCCATGCAGGGCTATTGGAGTGGGGGTTTTCCAAAGGCACAGGCCACTGCTACCAGAGGCTCAGAGTTCTGGATCAATACAAGGTCCAATTATATCTGAGTCCTCAAAGCACTAGGGAAGGAACTTCTTTTGCATGATTGAGACACAAGTGGCAGCTGGCCAGTCTTGGGTTGTCACTGTGTGAAGGACACACTGCAGCCAGCCATCTGTCAGCCTCTGATTAGCAATATTAGTGGCTATGTGAGTTTTCTTCCATGGCTCACCCACTGACCCACTGCTGTGGTCCTAGATACTTGTTAGTGGCCTGAACAAAATTTAACCTTGTGTGTGTGTGTTGGGGGTTGGGGTGAGGAGGCAACTGCCCCCTGACCAGAGTGGGACTGGAAAGAAGGGACAGGACAGCAGTGGACACTTCACCTCTATTACAGGCTGTCCATTGTATTCTCCTTGTTTTGCATTCTGCCTTCACTCTTCTTCTGATTGCCCATAAATTGCCTTCTCAGAGATTCAGGATTTATATTTTCCTGTTTTTTGTAAGTCTACCCTTCTTCTTACGCAAAATTGGCTTGGCTTCGGTCACTTGCTTTTGCCTTAATTCAAAGCCTTGGACTTCTTCATGACAAGTATCTGACTCTTCCAATCACATTCTGTTTCCCTCAGACTCATTTTCTAACCTTTTAGCTACAGTTGGGTGCCAGTTCCTTCACTGCCTGAAGATATTTGAAAACTATCTTATGAAGAGTGCAGTCTTTGTGTAATGAGGTATTAGTGAGAAGGTAGACAGTGTCATGGATTTCACATAAGACCAAGTGCTCTACCTATCTGGTTATCAGGAGAGGCTGGGTGGGAGCGAGGATGGTGCATATCCCACTGCCTACTTCATCATTTTTTGGTTCATGCCATTGAATTACAACCAATTAGAATGGAAAAGAACCCTGGAAATGATAAGATGCAACAGTCCCATATCACAGGTAAATAGTGCACTGAGAGCCTTTGCCCAAAGTCACAGAGCTAAGCAGGAGGAATGCTAAGGCCCAAATCTGAGCACCTAATTTCCAGTTCTAATGTCCTTTCCACTACATGAAAAATTCATTCAATGCACGTAAGTAAATAGAACTGGAACTTTTAAAAAGTTAATGAGTCACGAGGTGAGGCTCAAGAATTTGCCTCACTGCCTGATTCATTCACTATTTATTGAATGCCCACTATGTGTAGGCACTCAACTGGGCAAAGAAGGCAATAAAAAAAGATGCTGACCCTCTTCAGGAACTTGATGTGAAGCAATAGCCATGCAAATAAATTATACCACTTCTCATCAATTTTAAGATGCAAAGGCATTTAAACATCTCAGCTTACCCAGGACAGAAACAGGCCATACAATTAATGGGTTTTGTGACCATGTTAAATTGGAAGTGAGGTAAGTAAGTCCATAGACTGCATCATATTCTTTTTCTACCAGGACTAGTGTTGATGTGGGCTGACCATTAAATAACATGCCCCGCTTGAGATTTTCTGGACCATAATTGTAGTTGGGCATCAGAACACAAACCTGCCACATGATCATCTCCTGGTTCCAGTTGCTGGAAGACTCTTCTATTTCTCCTTCCATCAGGCCATCACTGGAAGATTTTATTGATGTCCATTTCTATGTGTTGGGTTCATTTCTTACCAGCCCTTTCATTGGTTGGCTGGCTTTGCTGGAGGAGTCTTGATAATTCCCCACCTTAACTTGTTTTGTTGAACCTTCTTAGAGGTATATAGAATAATGTTCCATTTCAAAACTCGCAGCACTTCAAGTTCTATAAGATACAGTGAGTGTAATTGTTAGAAGAATCATTGAAAATAGTGCTGAATTGCACCAAGAAGCACAGGAAGAGGACCTGAATTCGATCAAAGATCTCTATGAATCAACACCATGTAAACTGAGTAACTGGGAGCTGGGATAAACCACCCAGGCCTGAGCACTTCAGACAGGAGGAACAACGTGTGCAAATGCAATTAGGGTGACCATCTTCCAATGTATTAATATCCAAAGGAAAATTATGTCTTTGCATAGAATCATTTTTTCTTGAAGCCTGAAATGGAAAAATGATAGATTTATGCTTATAAACTGCCTTTAAATTGCATTTTAAAAAACAAGTGGGATTTCATCCAATTACAATTACCACCCATGATTTGTGACATGAGATCTTTCTGTCTGTCCCATATTGCTGTGCTACATGCACAATGAGTTGACATGCAAATCTATAACAAGACAGATGACCACAATCACATATGCCTTTTGCAGGGAGAAGTATAAAAACCATTTCTTCTCATTGCTTTTCTAGATGTGCCTCAGCTCCAGTGGCTGCGCATGCCAGACAGGGGAATAGCCCAAGGCATCAGAGAATAAAGCATAATTTGGAACAGGTTCAAGCAGGGAGCATTTCCAGCTGGTGGGTAGAAGGCACTGCTCCTTTCTGGAAATCCTTTTTAAATCAGTGCATGAGCCAGTGCCCACCCAGATATCCTCCAAAGGTGCTTCAAAACTTCAAAATCCTAATCTTTTTTTTAAAAAAGCATAGTTCATATCTTTCACACATGTGCTCTGCAGCAAAGAGCACCCAGGGACTTCTCTGCTCTTAGTGGGCCATCTTAAACTTAGAAGTTTGAAATTCCAGTGTGTTACAAGATCAGACAATAAGGGCACCTTTACTTATATTTTTGGAGTTCTGCTGTAAGAGGTTGATAAAAGTAAATGATGAAGAGATGTCAACCTTCTCAGATTGTTCAAGTACCCAATTATAGGATAGTTCCTCCAGACAAAATGTTTCATTCTTCCTTTCAGGGAAGTGCTCTGATCCTAAGGGACTGAAACACACAGACTCCTAAGAGTATGTTCAGTGTTTGCTCTGTTCCACATATAGGGTGTGAGACACCCAGCTCTGGAAGTAAGTAGGAGTCCATGGAAGCTACTTTGTAGGTTTCCTCCAGGATCCAGAGGCACATTCAAGGAGTCAGGAGAGTTACAAGAGCTGGTTCTTTGTTACCTGGTTGTCACCCTCAAACAAAAAATAGAAATAGTCACCAGGAATGAGATGAGGGTGGACAGCTACAGTCCCCAAAGCCATATCTTTTGTTAAGTGAGAGAGATGGCATGCTCAGCCACTGGATCTAAGGTAGATAGCCTTTCATTTATTTTATCTTGACTAAATAATTATGCTCCAAAATATTAATCGTTTTAGCTTCTGTTATGGTTTATGTCGGGATGTCCCTCCCAACCTGCAATAGGCGAAGACCAAGTTTGTGAAAGGTAAGTAAAGTATGCACATCCTGCAGCTGGTTCAATGTTAGAATGGGTCTGTTGTGAAGAGGTGGTGGCTGGGGACATGGCCTACAAGTGTCCATCTCCCTCCTGGCTCTAGCTTTCATGCGCTGCTTCCCAGCTGCCATAAGGTGAGCAGCTTTCCTGCTCTCATGCCACTCATCATGCAAAGATCAAACCTTCTAAAGCATGAGCTCAAAGAAGACTCTCCTTCTTTAACTTGTGGATGTCGGGCCCCCAGCAACAAGGAAAATGACTAAGATACCCTCACTTCTCCCACCTTATGCTACTTTGATTATTTCATTCACAGAAGATCTTCTGGCTTTGCCAAAGCATACCAGACAGCAGATGAACAGGTATACGTAAATTCATCCGTGCAACCCAACAGTAATTAAGGGGCACTTACCAGCTGTTCTATATCATCTATATGAAACGTGGCCTGTTTGTCGACATGGTAGGACTATGCATATGTATCCTTATTAAAATTATTCCATAGCCTCCCATTCTTCTTCCTCCTTCTCATGTTAAGGTTTATATTTGCTACAGTTCCAATGTGTTGCCTCCAAAATTCAAGTGTTGCCCATGTGACAGTTTTATGGGGTGGGACCTTTAAAAGTGACTAAATCATAAAGGCTCCTCCCACATGCGTAGGAATAAAGCTTTTATTAAAGGAAGGATGCAGTATTCAGTCCATTGCTCTTTCAGTTGTACCCCTTCCTTCTGAAGGGCACAGCGGGCACCACCTTCAAAGTGGAGCACTGACCTCACTAGACAACCTACTAGCGTTTTGATACTGGATTTTCCAGTCGCCAAAACTGTGAGAAATAAATTTTCATTTTTTATAAATTATCCAGTCTGCTGTGATTTGTTATAACAGCAGACATGAATTAAGACAGAAATACTTGAGATGGTTGATTTGCGGTGTCAACTTGCCTGTGGCAGAGGAAACCCAGAACAGTAAACACCACTTATTCTCAGTGCTTCAGCAGGCACTGGGCCCATTTCTCTTCCACTGTAAGGGAAGTCTGGGAGTTTTGCTTTTGACTAGAGTGACCGGGCCACCCTGAGGCTGTGAGCTGTTGAACTGAGACAGAAAACCCTCCTTCAAGGTAGGGGAACTGGCCCCCAACAGAACACAAGTAGGAGGAAGGGCAGATTCTCATGCCAGGATGCCAATCTCTTTCTCCTTCACACTAGAACTCAGGGTTCTCTGACATCTGGACCCCAGAATTGGCACCAGCAGTGCCAGGTTCTCATGGAGAACTGTACCATAAACTCCTCTGGTTTTAAGCGTGTGGATGTGGACTGCGCCATGCTCTTTGCTTTCCTGGTTCTCTGGCTTGTGTCTGTCCTGACAGTCTCAGCTTCCATAGCGAAGGACGCCAGTTCCCATAGTCAATCTCTTTCCATGTCTTTCTCTGTATATATCTTATTGTTTTTTGGAGAACACTGACTACAGGAATGCTGTTGACTGATTATTAGATGAAATTATTGTGTTTGGCTTGGTTTGGGAAAAAAACAAAGGAAGCCTTAATAAAATCCTGACTTCAACTGTCAGTGTCAGGTTTTAAGAAACAAAATACTAAGGGGCTGGGGATTTAGCTCAGCGGCATAAGCGCCTGCCTTGCAATCAGACAGTCGTGAGTTCGATCCCTGGTACCGATAAAAACAAAAAAGCAAAAAAAAAAAAAAAAAAAAAAAAAAAAAAAAAAAAAAGAAAGAAAGAAAAGAAACAAAATGCTATCTTACCTCTAAGTTCAAAACCAAGGCAAATAAATGCTTGGCCATTGCAGCTTTAGACACTTTTAAAGAAAGGAAGACCAAACTGAAGGGCACCAGTTATGCTCTCCCAATTTCTTTAAACCTAAGTTTCTCTCTTTCACCTGAGAAAACCCATAGGCTTATGTGGGGGGAAAATCCTTTTATTTTGATATTAGACTTTGAAGTTTGGAAACAAAAACCAAAACGTTTTGCCCCAGGAGACAAAGGCTGTTGTTCCAGCCTAGAATATACGTTGAAATTTCAAAGGAGATGAAAACAGGTGAAGACTTGCTACTGCATTCACAAGCTCGGGGAGGCCACGTACAAATGTACTCACCAGATAACTGTTGGGCTTTAATGTTTTTGAAGAAGTTTGAGGCACAAGACCCTTGGAGGGGAAATCATCTGATCTTGTCTGCCTGTGATCTGAGTCAAAGACTGAATGATTATTTCCTTTCTTCTTTGTCCTCTTTACCTGCCTGAAAGTGGCCACACACGGTTTAGAAGGGAGCTTGGATAGTGGAGCTTTAAGAGGTATGGGACAGTTGTTTTCAAACTTTCTGTTTTTCACTTTGTTTCTGTTTTGTGCTGGGGATCGAGTCCAGGGCCTTTGTACTGAGCTCCATCCCCAAATTTATTTTTAATTTTGAGGCAGGGTTTTGTTAAGTTGTCAAGGCTGGGTTTGAATTTTTGAGCTTCCTGACTCAGCGTCCCAGGTTGCTGGGATGACAGGCATGTGCACCACACTCAGTGAAATTTTGCTATTGTGCTGGAGAGTAAATCAGTAAGAAAGCTTTTATAATTCAGATGCCCAAGCTGGTCTGGAGAAAAAGGTAGGAACAATGCACTAAATCTGGGGAAAGCAAACAAGAACTAGGGATTGGTCATTTTTTGAGCCTGTCATGTATCTCCCACACATAGGGCAGTAGGAGTCAGAGGTGTAAGTGATGCCTCTTAATCAGTGGACCTGAGGGGCTGCATGTCTAGATCTACACAGGTGGTACCATGCTGCAGGTCCCCAGGTCACAGCCTAAGTCACAGTGCGTAGAGTTTTTCTCCCAAGCCATGGTCCAGCACTTCCCTGGCAAAGCCAAAGAAGCTACGGGAAAGAAATGGGCCTGGGACAGAAGTCCTAGGCAGTGAGGCATGGACTGGGCAGGAGGACAGATGTGTGGGTCTGCTAGAGACTCATCCCATCCGTATGGCTTGGGAGAGAAGGTAAGAAAATGTGTGCTGCCCAGAAGACAGCACGGCACTGCTTGTCATTCCTGGCTGGGCATCTCGGGCTCCCTCCTTAGCCTTTCTCTTCCTCCCACACACTAGCACCATGCACACAGGAGACTGCACCGCCCTGGCTCTCCAGCCTGTCTCCCAACCGCTCCACCTCCCTGCAATTACAGCACAGGGCAGGGACAGCCTGCAACTCAGGACACGCTCAAGCTCCCCCAGCTTCACACCAAGCCTGCTTGCCTCGGGGGACTTTGGGCACTTTTTTCTCACAACCTCTTATCTTTCTTGCACACAGACAGTACCTTACAAAGAAGCAGTTGTGGACACCACTGTTCTCTTAGTTTGCATTGTGTATGGGTTTATCATCTTGGTATATTGTTTGTCATAGACTTAACTAACATCTTAAAAATTTGTCGTAAACTGTTAATCCTCACTTTGATATCCCTTAAATTCTGTTTCCCAGATATTTCCCTCAGTTTTCTCTAGCCTCTACCATTTTATTTA